TAAAGGTTTTCAGGGATGTGGTGGACTTTGGTAGTTCGTTCTCTCTCTCTTTTTTTTTTTTTTGGATAAATCAAAAGACACTGACTTAGCAGCTTACCAGATAGGGGAACTTGGGCCAGTTACTAAGTCTTTTTGAGTGTCTTTTTTTTTTAAATAGGGATATCAACAACGCCAATATCATAGGGTTCTTTAGTGGATTAAATGAAATATAAATAATAAAAACAGTTCCTGGCATATAGTAAACTCTGAATAACTGTTAAGTATTGTCTGGGATGTTAGAGGGAGTAATAGGTTGGGGATTTGATTATGAATATCATGAAGAGTCAGAAGTCACATTTTATGAATTTTCTCCAATTCAGACTTATTTATTATACAACGCTAATCATTTTTAAAATCTCTGTCTCTTTGGATTTGTGGTTTTATAATACCACAATGCAGCAGTTAAGGAATTGTTCTGCCCTCTCTCCTCTTATCCCTTTTCCTCCCTGATCATTTGAATGCCAGACTGATTGCCCCAAAAAGGTATAGTAGCAAAGGGAGGGAGGCAAGACTTCCAGTTTCTTTGTAGCTACCCCATTTATGCCATTATACATTCAGATGAACTAACCCTTTTATGGTTTTTGGCGTTTTTCCGTCTTTCTGACTCCTCGTGTAAAGGTACATTTTATGGCCTAACGATTAATAAACAAGGTTGATTTTTTTTTTTTTTTAAGAAATATGTGAGAAATCCATTGTGCCTCTTGAGTTACGAAAATCATTGTTAATTTGATGTCGTGCAGGCAGTTTGCCTTGGGAAAATTGGTACCGTGTTACATGTTTTCAAAGTTTAATCTTACTGTTTTGAAGTAATTGTGATGAAAAGCTTAGTGGTCATATTGTACTTTCATCTATGACTTTTGAGGTTTTATAGAAATAGGATATTTATCTCTTTTACTGTTTGGTTGCCAGCCATATATTTATCAGTATCATTGGGAAAGTTACTTTAATTCCTCTCTTATACTTTAATGTTGTTAATTGGTGGTATAGCATAGTTGGTGGTTTAGACCTGAGTTCCTCAGTCTTTTTTCTCTATTTCTTCCCTAAGGAGCCTTTTTAGATTTTTTTTTTTTTTTTCTGAGGTGGCCCCACCTTCAGAAAATTTTAACTCCAGAGAGATACTGCAGGTCTGTTTATGTATTTTATGTATATCTGTGTTTTATACAAGAGTAAATTTTTCTGCCCCTTTCCTCCAAAAATCAGTGTTCCTCCTTGAGAGGGCAAACTGTCTATATTGAGAGTGCACATTTTATAAGCAGTGGATTCTCAAAATTTGGTGTAAATACCCCAAAGTACTTTTGTGTATGAGAGTTTTATCTAGTGAAATTCATCATATTAAAAATTAAAGCTGAGAAAATTGTTTAAATACTAGTTTATTTTTAAATATTTTATGAAAAGTAACCACTTTCATTTCCCCCATATTTTTTAATGAGAAGAGTGGCATTGTTAACACATTTTTGCAGATTTTTAAAAAGTCTGCCTTAATAGCAAGATTCTAGTAGTTGCTTTGGCATTCAGTCTGTTACGGTGTTATAAAGAAAATCTGGGCTCGTATGTATTTGGAAAGAGTATTTTAATAACATTTTCAGATCATAGAGGTTCTTTGATATTACACCAAAACTTGACAGTTAATGGTTTCTTAAAGTATAGTTGCAATGTGAAATTGAAACCATACAAAACAAACTTGTTCAATCTGTGGCCAAACATAAATTCATAAACTTTCTTAAAACATTGTTTTTGTTTTAGCTCATCAGCTTTTGTTAGTATTAGAGTATTTTATATGTGGCCTAAGACAATTCTCCTTCTAGTGTGGCCCAGGGAAGCCAAAAGATTGGACACCTCTGATATAAAAGTTTTTGTCTCGTTACATTAAAATTCATTGGCCTTTCTCTTTGAATGTATCTTTTGTTCATGAGCAATTTCTTACTAAACAACCAGCATTGGTTACTTAGAAAATACTGATTCACTCTCTTATGATATTTCAAATATTGATGTAGTATCAACTAACCACATTTCATTAATATCACAATGAATCTTATCAGAAACTGAGTATTGGAAATGATTGTCAAGGTTTTTTTTTTCACTTGACTGTTGTCTTTGATAACAAATACTATTAGATGTTTGAAGTGATGGGTGCACTTTGTTCATTTTCAGAATGTCTACTGAATACTCAGGTCTTAATGACCAGTTTATTAGTCATTCTTTCAGATAAAAAACATGTTCCGTGAAAAAGGCAATTTAGTCAGCTCACAACTCAAACAGTTGTACAGTGCTTTTTCTTTCCGTCGTCATAACTTCTTTACTCAACAGGAGTGTTTGGTCCATGCTTCCCAGTTTGTCATGCAAAATGTTAGCAATATGTGTATTCAGGGTTGAGATTTAGCAAAATTAATAATTTTTAACCGGGCGCAGTGGCTCAAGCCTGTAATCCCAGCACTTTGGGAGGCCGAGGCGGTTGGATCACGAGGTCAAGAGAGATCGAGACCATCCTGGTCAACATGGTGAAACCCCGTCTCTACTAAAAATACAAAAAATTAGCTGCGCATGGTGGCGCGTGCCTGTAATCCCAGCTACTCAGGAGGCTGAGGCAGGAGAATTGCCTAAACCCAGGAGACGAAGGTTGCGGTGAGCCGAGAATCGCGCCATTGCACTCCAGCCTGGGTAACAAGAGCGAAACTCCATCTCAAAAAAAAAAAAAAATAATAATTTTTACTGTGAGAGCATGGTGATGAAGAGTATGACTACTAGTGCAGTTGGGTGCCATTGCTTTGATTTGGCTTCTTGATAAGGCTTCAGCTCTTTTTTATTTCCCACAGCTGCTTTAGCAGCATTTGTGCTCATGTCCATTTGGTGAAAAAGGCAAATAACTCACTATAGTATTCTGAAAACAATTTTGACCTCTATAGGGGTACATGAACCATAATTTGAGAATCATTGATGTATTAATAAGTGATGGAGCTGGGGTTCAATCCAGGTATTGAATTGAATATACATTTCATATATGTATGTATGTGTGTGTGTATATATATATATATATATATCTCCCAGCTCCGTCACTTATTAATTAGCTACATGACCTTGAACAATTACCCTGATACCAAAACCAGATAAAGAACACTGCAGATCAGTATTCTTCACAAAATAGGCAAAAAAGGGGAAAAAAATTCAAAATATTTGACATTAGGTTTTCTATATTGTCATTGTTATTTTTTATTTTGGGGTGTGTGTGTGTGCATACACACTTAATGGGGCTGTAGAGGAGAGTGGGTTCTGAAGTAGCATTTATTAAAATGGAGTAAGAAAGATGCTGGCCAAAATCCCAAATTGTATTAATAGGCTAAAGGTCTAAATATCCTCAACAGTTTTAGGACTTTTTTTTTTTTAAATGGCAAATGCTAAGCCTGCTGCCTTGTTTTGTAGTTCAGTCAAGTGCATTAATGCTGTTGGTTTTGAAAGATTTTGAAATATGTATCAATCTTCACTACCCCTCAACAGTTTTCAGATAATGTAGGGGAAGAGAAATGTAGTTGGTAAAAGTAAACTGAATGCCTTCCTTGGTTGTTTACCAGTTCAAGGAAATTCAATGGTAAAACATTTTCGTTCTTTGGTTAGTCTCATTGTTCATGATCTTCGAAAATAGACTCATCTGTAATGAGTCTATTTACATATATACCCATTTCGGAGTAACCTTCACTTAGGAGATTGTTGTTTTTTTAATAAGAAAGAGGGCCCGTTAGTACCTTCTGTTATGTTATCCATGCCAAAGAACTAGTTGCTTTTTGAGAGAAATGACACATGGGGTTCTCCATCTGCTGTAATTGATTATTGCTTTCATGTGCTTCCCAAACAGTTCCTTCAGTCTCAGCATCACTTGCCTGTCTGACTAATGCTTCTGTCCTGTTAGTTTTTAATATTTGTTTTTTTAGTTGTAACTACTTAAAATAAAAATTTCCACCAATTAGACAAGTAATACCTTCATTTTAGAGAATTTTAAAAGTTAAGATAGAAATCAGGGAAAAGCATTAGCTTCATCATCGTGGGGTATGTTCATTACTGTCCTTTTTGATGATTAATGTGTGCTCCTTTTTTCCTAATTGGCAACATATTGAATACACATTTCATACTGTGTCTTTTCATTTATTATCAGTATTTCCCTCCATCAAAAAGTATTCTAAAACATTTTTAATGACTGAATAACTTTTGCCATTAATATGTATCATGCTTTTAAAAAAAAACTATATACATTCTCCTAATGTTGTTTTCAGTTTATCAAAATTATAAATATGCTGTGAAGCGCATCTCTTATATTTTAGTATTTTTTTTTCTGATTATACTCTGGTTGTTCTGTTGAAGACCCTTAAAGGAGAATGACTGGTTCAGATAGCAATATTTGTTTTTTTACAAGGTTCTTGAAGTCAATTGCTAACTTGCTTTCCAAAAAGATTGAACCAATTTATTATCATTTTATAAGCATTCAGCTCAGTTCTCCATATCTTCACCAGAACTGATACTATGTTAAATGCTTTTAAAACAATAAATAACGCACATCAGCACAGGAACTTCCAGCAAAGGTTTAAATGCTTAGAAATTAAATAATATAACATACATCAAAACTTGTAGTGTATATTTCTTATTACCAGGAGAGTCCCAACTGAACTAGACTTAATGAATTGTCTTTAACCTTCTGGGGGTATAGTCTTCAAAACAGATTTCTTTCTCTAGGAGTTCTTTATACTTTCTGAGCCTGTACAGACCTGCTTATGTAGAGTGGGTTGGAGATAAAAGTTCAATGTGTGTTCTTTGGTTTTTATATTTTTCTCTCCTTTAACCCCGTGTCTTGGGACAGTTATATAGAGTAGTTTGGTATATGTGGATTTTTTTCTTTATCACATAAAGCAGATTTGGATAATATGTGATTGGAAGTTATGTGTCTGAGTTCTTTGCTAATTCTATATAAATTTCAGGTGTGCAACAGAGGAACATGGCTCAAGAAACTAATCACAGCCAAGTGCCTATGCTTTGTTCCACTGGCTGCGGATTTTATGGAAACCCTCGTACAAATGGCATGTGTTCAGTATGCTATAAAGAACATCTTCAAAGACAGAATAGTAGTAATGGTAGAATAAGCCCACCTGGTAAGTAATTCTGGTAAAACTCATCTGTATTCAAAATTGAAGTACAAATGGATAGTTCAGTATACCCAATACCCTTTTCTGCTCTCACTTTGTACTTATGTTACCATATTCATATCAGTAAAATTTCTCATTACACATTGTGATTATCAGTAGTGAGGAGTTAAGAATGAGTATTGTCACTCATTGAAAATACTGTAAATTCATATCATGATCTTATTTGCTGTAGCTGTGGAACTCTATTACCTTATTAAAATAGAGGGGACATCTCAAGTATATATAACTGTCTTGGAAAGTAAGATAAGGGAGTGATAAAAGAACTTTTGTTCTTTTATCAGGTGTGACTTTTACAGCTTAAGTAGTTGTTGAAGGAAAGAGTGGGTTATTGATAACCCCACCTCAGTGGACTTCAGAGGAAGCTTTACTCCATTAGGAAGGAGGGGTGTAGTGGATTAACTCATAGTAAGGAATGTTCAACCCCAGTTCACTAGGGTTTTTTATGCCTTTTTGTGTCAAAGAATATTCTTAGAATTGAGGTGGCCTTTTGTTTCAGTAGTTGTGTAAGAGGGATCATGAGGATTCTGAGTATAAGCTTTGCAAAAGGAAATAGTTTAATGTGTTCATTTAGGATAGTTCTCCATGTGGGATAATGCCTGCATGTATAGATTTTTGTGGTTAATGAAAGTGCAGGCTATTACTTAGTTCATGTAATATTGTGTATGAGATCTTGTCTGTTTCTGTGCAAGCCAAAACCTACAACCATTTAACCAAAACTCCAGATTTTCTTAAGGCTAAGATCAAATGAGTATAAATTGTTTTAAATTAAATCATCATCTACATTTATAACCTAATGTACCTGAGTGTAGATTTTAATTCTGAACCTATATTCTTCATTGCTGTATCATCTTATTTAAATATCTCATTTGTACGCTAGTACTTGGATGATGTTTTTGAATCAAAGATTTGCACTTGGATGATATTCAGTCCTAAGAAGTAGGAGTTTAGTTTATTAATTTATACAATTTGTATATGGTTTAAAATTAACATACTTTTAATTGGTAAACCATTGAAAATTTTTTAGCTAAAATAACGAACCAGCATATTACATATTAAAACAAAATCTCTATACTATATTCTGTGGAAAATGGATCTTGTTTTTTTTTTTTGTTAGATAAGGTCTTAGCATATAGAATCACTAATATGGAATGTGATACTGTTACAGCAACCTCTGTCAGTAGTCTGTCTGAATCTTTACCAGTTCAATGCACAGATGGCAGTGTCCCAGAAGTCCAGTCATCATTAGACTCTACATCTTCATCTATGCAGCCAAGGTAAGATGTAGTCTCGAATTATAATGGGAACGCTAGTGAAACTAAAGAGTACATTCTGTTTTTGATTAACTCTAATAAGGAAAACTAAGTAAAGCTACTTTAAGATTAACTGGCCTAAAATTTTATCTGTCTGATTATAACTAGTTAGAAAAAGCGATTTCTTGCTTTTACATTGAGGGTTTGGGGGTTATCGTTTAAGTCTTAGATTTATTTTTCAGGCGTCTTTTTCTTTCTTCTTTCTCATAATATATCCTGACCTACACCTGAAGTCCTTTGGAAGCATGTTAAGTGAAATGTTAGGTCTTACTCTGCAAGTATCACTAACTTACATTTAAAAAATACAGTCCTGTCACATACTATCTTTCTTTAATATCATGATGTAGTACTCATATTTGTTTGTATTGTAATATGTATATATATGTTTTTAAACTCTGAAGTCACATCATTTAGAAGCCTGCATACAGCAATACTTGTTTGGTTTTTATTCTGCTGTTAGGAACGAATATATTAAATTCCTACACTATGGTTTCTTTTTTCTAATTCATGATAGATGTCCAGTTTTGCTATGCCAGAATATCATTGACAGCTTTGCCTTAGGGTTCTTTAAGCATGTCTTTATCATGCTAGTTTTCATTTAGTGAATTCATATGGTACTTGAAATGCGCAAAGGACATATGCACTACTGCTTTGTTTGCAAGACAGGAAGATTCTGGTCCAAATTGGTCTCTAGTTTTAAAGCTCTATGATTATGTTTCATTTATTTTAAAAAGTATCTCTGTATGCTTGTCTTAATGATATACTTAGATATGTTGAATTCTTACTATGTCACATTAGTTAATATTCATGTGTGGAGATCACCTTTTAAGATGAAATATTTTGCTTTTCTAGCCCTGTATCAAATCAGTCACTTTTATCAGAGTCTGTAGCTTCTTCTCAGTTGGACAGTACATCTGTGGACAAAATAGTACCTGAAACAGAAGATCTGCAGGGTTTGTATATGAACTAGCATGTATTTTGTTATTTGAGTATTTTGGCCAGACACTGTCTTTAGATGCATGTCTAAAATATTGCCAGCTTAAAGTACTTATTTTTCTAATGAACGCAATACTTTATGTCCTTAAGTTAAGTATTTAATTAACATGTTGGGGAGCCATTTCACACTTATATATAATTTTATCAGCACAAACATTGCAAATTCAAATTTTATTTAGTTTGAAAAATACAATTAAATGAATGGCAGCATTATACTGTTCTCTTTTATTATTTTGGCTGGTTCGGTCTAAATACCACTCTCTAAGAAAACTGGGACTGCTGGTTTGAGGGGAATCTGTTTCTTTCATTTTTTGACTCATTAAGAGACTGTGCAGGTCTTGGCTTGCAGTTCTCCCCTTCTTCCCCATGTATGCAGTAGCCACTTGTTCTTGCCCATGCTCTTCATATTTCCATTTTGCAGCTCAGAGTGATCTGGGAAGACTTGAAAATTTGTATGAAGGCATTTGTATTAGGAGAGAACAGAGAAGGCCATTTTGGAGGCTGCTAAATAACTTCTGCTTAATTAGTTGTATTCTATCAGTGTGTGGAAATAACATGATAACCAAGGAAAGATCTCTGGAAAGATAAGCCTTATACATGGCATATTTGCAGTGTACATTAATGGAGCAGTGGATTCCTGGAGAAGGTCTAGTTGGTGATAAAACTGGAGAGGTTGAGAATTTATCCATGGCAAATTCCACCATTTTAGAGCACGATGTCATGTCTGCAAGGTCATATTATAGATTCTGACTCTGGGGACAGTGTTCAGGAGGGCCAGGGTGGTTAGTAACAAGAGGGGAGGCATGTTAAGATTTCAGAGTAGTAATTTAACCTGAATCTTGGCAAATCTGGCTTTGGTTTCCATATATAAATGCATCAATTTATTATCTTAATTATAAAATTTTAAAGCTTCTTTGGTTCAGTTTGCCTTATTTCTAACATTTAAAGCGCTTTTATGTGAAACATTTGGGGAACTTGAAACTTAACTTTAAATTCCACAGAATCTTGGTTTCACCTTTGCCCTACTTGTTCTCTGAGAAACCTATGTCATTCTGACCCCAAACAATATTAAGAAGTAAGCAGATTGCAGTTTTCTTGCACACTCCCTTAGAATATTCAACTAGTATTTGTTTATGTGCCTTTTATTGAGCAAATACATAGTAATTAGAAAAATCAGAAAATACAGTTTAAACCAAAAGAAGAAAGTCTATAAAATTACTGTTAACATATCATTACATATTCTAGATTATTTTCTACAAGTGTATATACATACATTCAACAAAAAGGGGTCATATTTGTAAACAACTTTGTCATTTAATAAGACTAGCTTTCTATGCTAATAAATAAAGTCCTCTGTGTCCTCTGAATAATAGATTAGGGAGGGTGGGATGAGGAATAGCAAAATCTTACTGAATAATTAAATTTTGCCACCTTCCTATTTTTGTCAGCTTCAGTATCAGACACGGCACAGCAGCCATCTGAGGAGCAAAGCAAGTCTCTTGAAAAACCAAAACAAAAAAAGAATCGCTGTTTCATGTGCAGGAAGAAAGTGGGACTTACTGGTAAGGACCTAGATCAAATGTTTAAGATGATGTGGCCAGGTGCGGTGTCTCATGCCTGTAATCCCAGCACCTTGGGAGGCCAAGGCATATGGATCACGAGGTCAGATGTTCGAGACCATCTTGGCCAACATAGTGAAACCCCATCTCTACTAAAAAGACAAAAATTAGCCGGCGTACTGGTGGGCTCCTGTAATCCCGGCTACTCAGGAGGCTGAGGCAGGAGAATTGCTTGAGCCTGGGAGGTGGAGATTGCAGTGAGCTGAGGTCGTGCCACTGCACTCCAGCCCAGGTGACAGTGTGAGACTCTGTCTCAAAAAATTAAGATGATGTTTTGTAATAATACATAGCTTACTATTATTGACTTCAATTGAGATTGTTCTTGTTCCCTTGAGAGTTAATATTGGATATACTTCAGCTTCTGAATTTTAAGGAAATAAAAATACCCTTGATTATGTACCTACAAGTGAAATGAATAGCTTTAAAAACAATTCATTCCAGCTGAATTTAGAAGTATTAGACAAGTAAGGTTAGTGTGCCAGATGCTGTGAAAGGTCAAAGATGTGACTCCTGCTTTCAAGGAGAGAATATTTTGAAGTATTTGGTTAGCTGTGTAGTCCTTCCTATGTATAAAATAGGGCTAATCGTATGTTGTTGTGTGGATTCAGTGAGTTAAGACATGTAAGTGGTTATCCCAGTGCTGCCTCACAATAAGTAATCAATATATATTGGCTACTGTAACATAGCTATCAGATGCAGATGGTGGTGGGAGGGAGAAAGAAATGTTCAAAAGCATTTAGCAAAGAAAGTACGCTAAGTGCAGTCAGATTGCTTTGGAAATTCAGACATAAGAGTGACTAATTTACATTTAAAAATGGTAGTTCTTAGAGGCCTAGCAAGGAAAGGTTCATGACGGCAGAATGTTTCAGTGCATCTAGAATAGTGAGTAGGACCTATAACTGATGGAAACAGACATTTCAGACAGAAAGGATAACTTGAAAAAAATGCATAGGGCATGTGCAGGGACCATGAAAAGGGGAGTGTGGCTGTGTAACACGTAATATGTGAACAAGAGTGTTGCGTACTGCAATTACTGCAATCCAACAGAAATAAAGAAGACTAAAAACATATACAGTTGACCCTTGAACAACATGGGACTGTGTGGGTCCACTTAGAGTTTTTTCTAATATATTGGAAAAGTTTTTGGAGACTTGCTGCAATTGGAAAAAACTCAGAGATGAACTAGCCTAGAAATATATATTTTTTAATTAAGAAAAGTTAGGCATGTCTTGATGTGTGGATACTAGTGTATTGTATCATTTAACAATATCATACATTTAATTTGCCACAGAATATACACAAATCTATTATAAAAAATTTAAATTTTATCAAAACTTGTCTATACAGTTGCAGATCATACATAAAGCCATTCATAGTCAAGAGAAATGTAAACAAATGTAAAGATGTAGATTAAGTGATGGTGGCATAAAAGTTACTATAATATATACTGTACTTCTCTAATAATTTCATGGCCACCTCCTATTGCTGTTGCAGTGAGTTCAGGCACTGCTGGTAACCACTTAAAATGGTATGAGGCACTAATCACCTCTGTGTCCGCCGTTTGTCTCCGTAGTAAATTGCCTAGCCCAGTAAAAGGTAATCTTGTGGTTCTCATGTATTTTTCCTCGTGTTTAATGCAATATTGTAAACTTTGAATAATACCATAATACTCATACAAAGTGCCACTAGTGGTACTGGAAGTGCTCCCGAAGCAGAGAAAAGCCACAACATTACAACAGAAAGTTGAATCGCTTGGTATGTTCCATAGATTAAAGCCTGCAGCTGCAGTTCTGCCATTTCAAGAAAAATGAACAATGTCCGCCATTTCAAGATAAATGAATTCAGTGTAAGGACTATTTAAAAAAAAAAAAAAAATGTGTGAAGCTGTCTCTGCAGCTATGCCAGCAGGCACAAAAACCTTGTATTTTTTTATGAAATACCTTTTTATTTTGTATTGACAATGCAGCTTTTATGTGGGTGCAGGATTGCTATAAAGAAAGGCATACCTATAGATTATAATTCAAGAAAAAATGAAGTCATTATATGACAGCTTTTAGACTGTAAAGCTGGAGACTTTAATACCAACAAAAGATGGTCTGATTTTTTTTTTTCTTTTTTTAATTGAAATGGAGTCTTGCTCTGTCACCCAGGCTGGAGTGCAGTGGCATTATCTTGGCTCACTGCATTCTCTGCCTCCTAGGTTCAAGTGATACTCCTGCCTCAGCCTCCTGAGAAGCTGGGATTACAGGCATGTGCCACCGTGCCAGGCTAATTTTTGTATTTTTTTTTTTTTAAGTAGAGACGTCGTTTCACCATGTTGGCCAGGCTGGTCTCAAACTCCTGACCTCAGGTGATCTGCCCACCTCAGCCTCCCAAGGTGTTGGGATTATAGGCACGAGCCACTGCACCTGGCCGCTTCGGTAATTTTAGAAAAAGGTTTGGCTTATAAAAAGTCAAGATAACGGGAGAAACAGCTTCTGCCAACAAAGAGGAAGCAGGTAAGTTCTTAAACTACATTAAGAAAGTCGTTAGAGAGGCTGGGCGTGGTGGCTCATGCCTGTAATCCCAGCACTTTGGGAGGCTGAGGCGGGTGGATCATGAGGTCGACAGATTGAGACCATCTTGGTCACATGGTGAAACCCTGTCTCTACTAAAAATACAAAAAATTAGCTGGGCATGGTGGCGCATGCCTGTAATCCCAGCTACTCAGGAGGCTGAGGCAGGAGAATTGCCTGAACCCAGGAGGCGGAGGTTGCGGTGAGCCGAGATCGTGCCATGGCACTCCAGGCTGGGTAACAAGAGCAAAACTCCATCTCAAAAAAAAAAAAAAGAAAGTTGTTGGAGAAAGAATATCTGCCTGAATAAGTTTTGAATGCAGACAAAAGTGCCCTATTCTGGAAAAAAAAGAAATCACAAAGACATTTATAAATAAGGAAGAAAAGTGAATACTACAACTTAAGGCAGGAAGAGAGAGTCTAATTTTACTGTTTTGTGCAAATGCAATTGGATCAATTACGATCACTTATGATCAGGACTGCCCGTATCTATAAAGTTGGTAACCCCTGAGTCTTGAAGGGAAAAGATAAACACCAGCTGCCAGTCCTTTGGTTATACAAGAATACCTAGACAAGACGAACCCTTTTTCATGGTTTGTTACATTAATGCTTTGTCCCTGAAATCAGAAAGTACCTTGCCAGTAAGGGACTGCCTTTTAAAGTTGTTGTTTTTAAGATGGAGTTTCATTCTTGTTGCCCACGCTGGAGTGGCAACAATGGCACAATTTCTGTTCACTGCAATCTCCTCCTCCCGGGTTCAAGTGATTGTCCTGCCTCAGCCTCACTAATAGCTGGGATTACAGGCATACTCCACCATGCCCGGTAAATTATTTATATCTTTAGTAGGGACAGGGTTTCACCATGTTGGCCAAGCTGGTCTCAAACTCCTAATCACAGATGATCTGCCCACCTCGGCCTCCCGAAGTTCTGGGATTATTAGAGGCCTGAGCCACAGCGCCCAGCCTAAAGTTGTTTTGATATTGAACAATTCCCTGGCCACCCAGAACCTCAAAAGTTCAGCACTGAAGGCATCGAAGTGATATGCTTACCCCCAGACAAGCGTCTCTAATTCACCCTCTAGGTCAGGGGTCATAAAGACCTTTCAGGCTCATTGCATATGGTACTCTATGGAAAATATTGTCAGTGCTATGGAAGAGAACCCCAATAGAGAGAAGATCATACCACTGAAGATACCATTATTGTTTAGACAAAGATATGAAAGCTGTCAAGCCCAAAACAATACATTCCTATGGGAGAAAACTGTGTCCATGTGTTGTGCATGACTTCACAGGATGGAAATCATGGTAGAGATTGTGGATATGGCAAGAAAGGTGGGGGATTAAGTATTTCAAGATATGGATCTTGGAGACATTCAGGAGCGAATAGACACCAAACCGAGGAATTAACAGAAGATGACTTGATGGAGATGACTGCTATCAAACCAGTGCCAGACAGTGAGGAAGAAGACCTAGAAGAAGCAGTGCCAGAAAACATATTGACATTAGACTGTCTGACAGAAGGGGTCTGAGTATTCAAGACTGCTTTTCACTTTGGCAACATGGTCTCTTCACTGATCAGAGAGAAGTCAAACTAAAGCAAATGGGGAAAGAAGGATCAGTACCATATGGAAACATTTTTAGAGAAACAAAAAAGCAGAAAAGTCAGAAATTACATTGTATTTCCATAAAGTTACACCAAGTATGTCTGCTTCTCCAGCCTCCCCTTTTACCTTCTCACCTCTGCTAACCCTGCGACAGCAAGACCAACTCCTCCTCTTCCTCTTCTTGAAGACAAGGATGAAGACCTTTATGATGATCGACTTTCCCTTATATATTTTCTCTTCCTTGTGATTTTCTTAGTAACATTTTCTTTTCTCTAGCTTAAGAGTACATTATATATTAATACATATAACATAAAAACATATAACACAAAATATATATTTGTTGACTGTTACCAGTAAAGCTTCTGGTTAATAGGCTATTAATAGCTCAAGTTTTGGGGAAACAAAAAGTTATACTTGGATTTTTGACTTGTTAGAGGGATCTGCATGCCTAAACCCTGTACAGGTGTTTAGTTAGAAAGTAGTTGCAGCTATAGATGTAATTTATTGTTTACCATGTGCCAGGCATTGTACTGAATACTTTGCTTAAAAATTGTACTTACAGGGAAGAGTAAGTAAGATTTGGAGTAAAGGTATGCTTTAGGTAGATTATTTCTGGTTAAGGAATGGGTTGGAGATGAAAGAGAAAGGAAGTTAGAGTTTAGTATCACAGATGCTTCAAGGCCAGGCACAGTGGCTCACGGCCGAAATCCCAGCACTTTGGGAGGCCAATGGGGGGAAGATTGCTTCAGGCCAGGAATTTGAGACCAGCCTGGGCAACATAATGAGATCTCCATTTTAAAAGAGAAAATTTAAAAAGATGTTTCAGATTTGCCCGTACCTTAGCACATGTATATTTAAAGAATATAAACATGGCCCAGTGCAGTGGCTCACACCTGTATTCCCAACACTTTGGGTAGCCAAGGTGGGAGGATCACCTGAGGCCAGGAGTTTAAAACCAGCCTGGACTACATAGTGAGATTCAGGTTCTACAAAAAAGTTTTAAAAATTAGCTGGGCGTGATGGCATGTGCCTATAGTCCCAGCTACTCAGAAGGCTGAGGTGGGAGGATTGCTTGAGCCCAGGAGGTTGAGGCTGCAGCGAGCTATGATTGTGCCATTGCATACCATCCTGAATGACAGAGTGAGACTCTCTATCCAAAAAAAAAAAAAACCAGATATTAGACATTTTAAAATATACATATTTAATATTAAAGATAAACTTTTAAATCTCACAAACCCTGGAGCTTTATGATTAGAAGGCTGAGATTTAGTAATTTTCATTCTGTCCAGTCTCTCAGTCTAATACGGTGTTGTTTGCTTCATTTTTTCTTCATTATTATGAAGTTACAAATATGTTTTTGAAGTCAAAACTGTGGCAAAGGAAGTTAACATCAAATTAATGTTTAAAATACTGATTTCTATGCTCCATTTCCAACAATTATATCATACCATAAAATTCTAATTTGGAGGAGCAGGAACAGTTTTATATAAAGACTGTCTGTACCCATTACGTCTCGATTTTGGCTTTAACCCTGGGCATTTTCTTAAAATTAAGTAGCGTTTATTGTATGTTTTACCATATGTTCAGCAGTAAATTAATTCCTCATTTAATCCTTATAATATTATTCCAAAATAACAGATGCAGAAATGCAGCTAATTTGCCTTCATTAGTAAGTAGATTCACACCGAGGCAGTCAAACTCTTAAATCCCATGCTCTTTACCTCTCAGCTGTAGTACAGTTTACATCTCCGTTGGAGGTTAGCAGAGAAAAGCAAATATTGAAGTTGTGTTCTTTGTTAACACAGTTCTTTGAGAGGCATTATTCGATCTTTCTTAAATGAATGCTACGACTGCCTTCTGACAGTAGGCTTATTTTCACGTTGTAGTGTTTGGATTTGAAAAATGTTTTACGTTTTCAATCTAGCAACTGTGTTTTTTGATAAGAAGTAATTGTGGCCATATTACAGGTGAAGAAACAAATTCAGAGAAGACTTGCTCTAGTGCAAACCTACCTTTGTTGATAGGAACAAGAAATGAAGCTCTCAGATAGTGAATAAGAATGTAGTTTGTGAGACTGTGTATTTAGAATGAGTCTTTAGTTTACATTGCTGCCCTATATATACTGTGCTGTTCAGTATTAATTATTATGCCAAAGACCTTAATAGTTCATCCTTCAATCCAACTCATGTATGTACATTACTCCATTTTCAGGGTTTGAATGCCGATGTGGAAATGTTTACTGTGGTGTACACCGTTACTCAGATGTACACAATTGCTCTTACAATTACAAAGCTGATGCTGCTGAGAAAATCAGAAAAGAAAATCCAGTAGTTGTTGGTGAAAAGATCCAGAAGATTTGAACTCCTGCTGGAATACAAAATCCTTTGAGCATCTGCAAACTAAAAATTGACTTGAGGGTTTTTTTTCCTAGTCATTGGGAATGTAGAGCAGTGTATCTTGCATAGACCTTTTAATCATGCATGTCATCAAAAGAATAGATTTTTGTTTTTGTTTGAAAATGACTCTGAACATTTATTTCCATTGCAATTTCTGTGGCTGAGAAGACTTAAACTTTACAAGTATCCTTTTAAGATCATTTTAATTTTAGTTGAGTGCAGAGGGCTTTTATAACAAACGTGCAGAAATTTTGGAGGGCTGTGATTTTTCCAGTATTAAACATGCATGCATTAATTTTGCAGTTTATTTTCTCATTGTGTGTATATATATCGCTTTTCTCTGCAGCACGATTTCTCTTTTGATAATGCCCTTTAGGGCACAACTAGTTACCAGTAACTGAATGTATCTTAATCATTATGGCTGCTTCTGTTTTTTCATTAACAAAGGTTATTCATATGTTAGTATATAGTTTCTTTGCACCCACTATTTATGTTTGAATCATTTGTCACAAGAGAATGTGTGCCGATGAGATTCTAAGTTTGTGTGTTAAAACTTTTTTTGAGCGAGGGAAGAAAAAGCTGTATGCATTTCATTGCTGTCTACAGGTTTCTTTCAGATTACGTTCATGGGTTTGTGTGTATACAATATGAAGAATGATCTGAAGTAATTGTGCTGTATTTAAGTTTATCCACCAGTCTTTGATTAAATAAAAAGGAAACCGGAATGCTGTCTTGTCTTACTTTTTCTTTTCTTCCTGGTAGTTAATTTTATTTTTTGGTCTTTTAGTTTTCTACTTTCCAAATTTTGTGAGAGAATTATCATTATTTGTCCCACATCTGCTTGTGACTAAGCTTATCATCATAATTGTAATTTTGTTTTCCTCTTGAGTTGATGACCTTAGCATGTCTTTAAAGGCAAGCACTCCTCTCTGTTACTTAAATGTATTTTCTAGTCCTTGTCTGATTCTCTTTTCTGGATTTGCACACCCAATTAACATCTAATAGAAGCTTCTTTTTTTTGTAGGCTTAGAGAAATTTTAAGAGTATAATTCAAACTGCAGAGCAGTTGTAGAATTGCGGAGTAGAACAACCCTCGAGATCGTTTGTCCTATGGTTTTCAAATGTGTCTAGTAACCAAACTTTTTTAAACCATTAAATATTATATAAAACAGATGAAGGCAGTAATTTTACAACATAAATTTCTCAGTTTAAAATTGTTTTTATGTACATGTTCTATTTCAATAAAAGATGATATAACAAAATCTGTGAATTGATCAGATTAACAGATGAAAAAGAATAAACTGTTAAAGTTTATCTTAATAGATTCAGATAAAGTAATAGAATTAAACTACCCATTCATAAGAAAAAATAAAAGTAATGATAAATTAAGACTGGAAAGAAATTTCCTTAAGCTGATAGTTCTTAGTGAAATCAATGAGCCAAACACAAAACCAAGCATCAACAAAAAAGAGGAAACTTACTTCCTTTTAAAGTCAGAAACAGGCCCGGCATCGTGGCTCACACCTGTAATCCCAGCCTTTTGGGAGGCTGAGGCAGGTGGATCAAGAGGTCAAGACGGTCCTGGCCAACGAGGTGAAACCCTGGGGTGTGTTGGCGTGTGCCTGTAGTCCCAGCTACAAGGGAGGCTGAGGCAGGAGAATCGCTTGAACCCAGGAGGTGGAGATTGCAGTGAGCTGAGATCATGCCACTGAACTCCAGCCTGGTAACAGAGCAAGGCTCCGTCTTAAAAAAAAAAAAAAAAAAAAGATGACTGCCCACTAATACTGCTTTCTATTCAAAATTGTGTTGGAGATTATAGCCAGTGGAGCAAGACAAGACAGAAAAATGCTAAGAAAAGAGGTAGCACTCATTATTTGCACATTATTGTTTTTATAGAAACATAAAATTACTAAAAAACGGTTTAGTTAGGTAGCTAGATATAGTATTAGGTTTTAGAAGAGTGTTGGCATTTCTTTACACCAGTTTCATAGAAAACCAGAAAGCATCATTTGATGATAATACCAGAATATTGATTACCCAGGAAATTGACAATACACGTTGATGGCCTCGTTGAGAAAGAATTCTAAAACATGAAGGGATAGTAAATAAGACCTCAGTAAATAGATGTCCGTGGATAGGAAAACAGTATCATTAAAAATGTCTTTTGTCCTTCAGTAGACATAGATTCAAAGTAATCCCAATCAATTCCACTAGGTTTTTTTTCATGGAGCATGTTTAGTTGTTTCTAAAAGTAAAAGTTAAAAAGAGCAAAAGGCTAGACCATTTCAAAAAAGAACAGCGAGACAGGGACTTGTGCTGCTAAATGTCAGGACTCACTGTGAAGCCTTGTTAATTAAAATAGCATGTTATTAGCTGATGGGGTCAGACAGATAAGCCAGTTGAATAGATTGCCCAGAAAAAGGCCTATGCAGGGACTGAATTTTGGTGTAAGAGAGAGGTGGCACATTACATTGAGGAAAGGAGACTGTTCGATAATTAGAGCTAGAATAATTAGTTTTCTATATGGAAAAAACTGTTAACTTATGCCTTGGAAAAAAGTTAAGGACTTACATGTAAAGCAAAACTTTAAAACAGAAAGCTGGCTACCTGTTAGGCCTTAGGATAGAGAGACTTCTTGGCCAGGCTCAGTGGCTCATGCCTGTAATCCCTGCTACTTGGGAGGCTGAGGCAGGAGAATTGCTTGAATCTGGGAGGCGGAGGTTGCATTAAGCCAATATCTCGCCACTGCACTCCAGCCTGAGCAACAGAGCAAGACTATCTGGAAGAAAAAAAAAGCTTCTTAAAACACAAAGCATTAACTATAAAACCATTATTATTATTTTGAGATGTAGTCTTGCCCTTGTTGCCCAGACTGGACAGCAATGGCACGATCTTGGCTCACTGCAACCTCCGCCTCCCGGGTTCAAGCGATTCTCCTGCCTCAGTCTTAGCCTCCCGAGTAGCTGGGATTTGAGGCACCCACCACCACACCAGGCTAATTTTTGTATTTTTAGTAGACCATGGGGTGTCACCATGTTGGCCAGTCTGGTCTTGAACTCCTGACCTCCAGTGATCCGCCTGCCTCGGCCTCCCAGAGTGCTGGGATTACAGGCATGAGCCTCTAAAGGCATTATTAATGAATTTGTCTATTAAGGGGACATTTTATTCTCTGAAACACATTAAAGTATCTTCAAAGAACGTGAAAAGTTACAGCGTGGGAGAAATTACACTGCAAATGAAGACTACAGTGAGATACCATATACCTATTCATCAAAAGTTTAAAAATCTGTGAATATCTAGTGTTGGCAGATTTCTGCGTGTTCGCATGCATTGCTGGTGTTAGTGGAAAATGGTTCAGTCCTGGAGAAAGTTTCATGTTACCTTTTAAAGTGGAACTTTTTTTTTTTTTTTTTAAAGACATTTATTCAGCGTCAGGATCAGACTATTACATTTAGCAATCAACAGCATGGGTGCAAAAAAAAAAAAGAAAAAATCTACATTAAAACCCTTTGTTGGAATGCTTTACACTTTCCACAGAACAGAAACTAAAATAACCTGTTATACAATTAGTCACAAATACAGTCCTCGAGTTTTTTGCCCATACACATGAGTATTTGTCTAAATCATGTCTTCTTTGTAGCAGCTAGGCCCTGCCACCACTGTGCTTGGCTGAGTTCACAAATCTGTTGTAACCTGTAGCTTCCCTGTCACTTCTCTGGCTCTCCTCTCCTGCTAAGCTTTGTTTCCTAATTAAAATCTTCTGCCACTGCCATAGCCACCTTGGTTTCGTGGTTTGGCAAAGTATTGGCCGCCACCACCATAGGGGCCAGAGCTTCTGCCTCCAAAGTTTCCTCCCTTCATGGGTCCAAAATTTGAAGACTGATTGTTGTAACTGCCAAAATCATTGTAGCTTCCACCACCTCCAAAATTGCCTCCATCATTACCAAATCCATTATAGCCATCCCCACTGCCACCATATCCACCACCATCACGGCTGCCACCAAAGCCACCACGACCACTGAAATTTCCTCCACGACCAAAGTTGTCATTCCCACCGAAACCATCTCCACCGACCACCACCCAAGTTTCCAGAACCACTTCGACCTCTTTGGCTGGATGAAGCACTAGCCATCTCTTGCTTTGACAGGGCTTTCCTAACTTCACAGCTGTGGCCATTCACGGTATGGTATTTCTGAATGACAATCTTATCCACGGAGTCATGGTCGTCAAAGGTTACAAAGGCAAAGCCCCTTTTCTTGCCACTGCCTCTGTCCGTCATGATTTCAGTCACTTCAATTTTTCCATACTGTTCAAAATAATCTCTTAGGTAATGTTCTTCAGTGTCTTCTTTAATGCCACCAACGAATATTTTTTTCACAGTTAAGTGGGCACCTGGTCTTTGAGAATCTTCTCTTGAGACAGCTCTCTTTGGTTCCACAACTCTTCCATCCACTTTGTGTGGCCTTGCATTCATGGCTGCATCCACCTCCTCCACAGTTGCATACGTGTCGAACCCAAAGCCCCTGGAGCGCTTGGTGTTTGGATCTCTCATGACCACACAGTCTGTGAGCGTTCCCCATTGCTCAAAATGGCTCCTGAGGCTCTCATCGGTTGTTTCAAAGCTCAGCCCTCCAATGAAGAGCTTCCTCAGCTGTTCCGGCTCTTTAGGAGACTCTGACTTAGACATGATCGAGGGGAGAAGAGAGACTTTAATGATGCTGCTTCGGCGGCTTCCACGGGCAGAAAGCTAAAGTGGAACTTTTACATACCAGTAATCCAGAAATTGCACTCCCAAGTGCATACCCAAGAAAAACTTGCACATAGATAAATGGGGGACCAGTACAGGAAGTTTTATAGTACTGTTTACAAAAGCAAAAACCCAGAAACAACTAGTCTTCAAATCCCCGCTGAAGAAGAATGGATGAATATAATGTGATATATTCACATACCGGAATAATACACAGTAACCAAAACTGATCCATAGTGACACAACAAAACGGAAGCATAGTATGCAAAATAGTCTTCAAGTATAGCTTTAGAAATACAGGAAGTACAGTATAGAAAGCAACACGCTCACCTATGTACACTTTAAAATGCATTTGCATGTAATAGATTTTATGTGAACAGAAAGCAGGATGGTGATGAGGAAATTCACAACAATGTCTTTAGATGAAAGGTGGCGAGGGATGCTCTAGTAAGTGGTCCTATACGTTCAAAGCTCCAGCTTTCTGCATTCAATTTGTATTTCTTTTTAAAGTTGTCACACACGAAACATTCACAGTCTTCCAGTTCCACTACACCTAAATATTAACACCGTTAAGAGTTCTGATAGGGGATGTGAATCTAAAATATATAATGAAGTCAAACAACTCAGTAAGAAAACAACCTGATTTTTAAAAAATGGGTAAAGGGTGTGAAAAGACATTTCTTGAAAGACACAAAAATGGCCAGTAGGTATATGAAAACATGCTCACCATCATTATCAGAAAAATGCAAAATAAAACCACAACGAGAGATCATCTCACACCTGTTAGAGTGGCTACTATCAAAAAGACGAAAGATAACAAGTGTTGCAGAGGGCGTGGAGAACAGGGAAGCCTTGTGCTTTGTTGGTGGGATGTAAATTAGTACAGCCATTATGGAAAACAGTATAGAGGTTCCTCAAGAAATGAAAACTAGAGCCACCATGTGATTTAGCAATCCCTCTGCGGAGTATATATCCAAA